GACACCTGCACTTTCGTATTGAAATTGTTCTAATATCATCAAAACAAAAGTTACAAAACACATCAGAAAACTGTAACATCAGCCAAATGAGCAAATCACTTTTTTAACACAATTTATGGCAAAATGAAGCAACATGTAATAGTATCTGAAACAAAACCAAATCACATATTATTCAAAAGTTTTAAATACTGTTGCATATAACAATATATCGTCGCATTTCTAATGGTAACTAACTATAAGTTAGGCCAATTTAAAATCGACTACGAAGAATATCAAAAACTAAAGGTCATGTTTCAGTTTACAAACCTAGACTTTAGTTTTATAAATATAAACATTAACGCTATACGAAGCCAATGAAGACACATTGTGCCCTAAATACTCGGACAGAGCCTCAGAGGTGTGTTCTAGTACACAATTAATCTTCTCTCACAGTTTAAAACAAACAATAATACTAACCTTCGACAATTTGTGTATAAATCTTATCGAATTTAACCATTTTGCCAAAGATTTTGCCAAAAATATTTCTTAGACGGTCAAAGTATTAATAATGGACACTCCTTGCGTGAAAATGTTAATTTATCCCAAAGTGTGAATAAATTAATCCAAGATTGCATTATTTGCATAATAATGTACTTGTCATTGACCAATCAGAATACATAGAAGACCGGCCGGTGCCAGGGCCTTTTCCCGCCTTCCCAATGACAAAAAGGGAAAAGCCATGGGAACGAGGTTGCTATTTCTCGTAATGCTCTAGAATATATAGTATAGTCATATATGTAACTGAGCATTTACAATAGCAGCAAGCCTATATGCATTTAGGAAGAACTAGGATGAACTAGGAAGTTCATTTTCTGCCGCTAAAGTTTGGTACCGGCATCATGGGAACTGGGTCCTGAACTAACATGACACATCGCAAGGGAAAATTCCAAGAGAAATTTCACAAATATTGTTATGTCACATTCACATTCACATGAAGCAGGATTTGCAATCATGGTCCTGATATGTTCAGTGTTTTTATCAGTATTTTATCATATATATTTCATATTAATTATCAATGTTGACTTAATTAAGCTATAAAGACAATGTTTTTAAATATTGTTCTCTGCTATAATAACCCATTGAGCCACAACGCGCCCCAGTGCGTTCACTTGTCTAACGCCAAATGATTTTACTTGTCAATGAGGAAACTCTGCAGCTTAATGGGTTGACCAAAAAATTAGACAATGTCTCTGGTAACCCCATCAAGCCGCAATGCGCCCCAGTGTGCCTTACTTATTTTTTACTTGTCGAACGCCAGACAATTTTACTTCTCAATGGGGAAGCTCTGCAGTTTAATGGGTTAATTAATTAAAAGACAATGTCAATGTTGAATAACGTAGTGGGCTACTAGGCTTATAGTCGTGGGGCGGCTTATATTCCGAATGAGGTGAGTGTTAGTACAGATGTGCTTATACACGAGGGGGGCTTATATTTGGAGGTTTATGGTAACATGGAAAATTTTCCTGGCACTTAACCTCCACTTATCAGCAACAGTCTGAGTTGTATAGGTTTTCATTGACTGGTGCATAACACGTCTAATAGTGCAATAGATTTTTGAATTTTCTATTGATTGAAGTATTTGGACATAAAAAACATAGATAAATAAAAATTAGAAACTTATGAAACTAGCAGTTGAGTTGAAACAAGTTGTTACATTTTCTCAAACCTTGTTTAGCTTGGACATGTGTTTTGGATATTGTTCGTTATATCTTTGGATTTATTTGTCGTATTTGTATGTAACTTGCTACGTATTCTACCAATGGTGTTATAACTTTCGCGTGTTAATTTGGTCAAATTTGGCTAACTTGTTCGTGTTTTATTAAAGTATTATTATTTTGACCGTTGGTGCTTTAAATTTGAATTTGCCACGTCGCGTTCGTAGGCAACAACTTTACGGCTGCGTATCTTGGTTCTACGTATTTCCAATTTTCTTTTACTTTGGATTTATATATTGTTCTTATTATTCGCTACATTTTGGTTGTGTTTTGTCAACTTTGGAATTAAACATTTGACTTTCCGCTGTTTGTAATGTGGCGTCCTGTATACGTAGCTGAAAGTTGGTCAGTATATAGATACTATCATCTCCAGCAAGTTTTCAAGTGTATACGTGTTAACTAGATTTTAAACTACAACGGGTTTTGTACTTTTCCAACCGTCAATTGTACAAATTTCATCAGGGGATTTCCCATTTAACATCGCTGTGGAATTTTAATTAACTGTTGGTGTTTGTCTAGTTTGGTTACGTCTCCGAACTCTGAACTTTGTAACCTGAAATCACATAACACTTTCACGTGCAAGGCGAAATCCCAACCTTTGGCTACAATAACTCATCATGACGATAAATCGAAGCTACTACTCTATGCTATCTCTGGTCATCTCCCTATTTACTGGTTGTATAGATAATGCTTCAACTGTCTCAGATATAAGAATCACTCGTATAAAAGATCACGCCATAAAAGATATTTCAATCCCATCTTTAAACCCTCTACCCTTCAATTTGACTGATACGATGAGTACTCTAGCGTTTACAATTCCAACGATTCTCCATCAAAAATTCATTAAACAAGTCCAAAATTCCCCTGTCTTGATGCACATACCCATGTCACTCAGGATAGTAAAAAAGAAACGAACAGGTTCAATCTACTCTCCCAAAATCTCGACTTGACTTAAACATGGCTACATTTGTCGCAGTTCGCCGGACTGTTACATTGATATTACCATTTATGTGGATATTGCATCTAATCCAGGTCTGACCATTACCCATGATCCCAATGCTGGTAACGATCAAAATTCAAACAGATATAATATCCGATGTTTATACTTTAACGCCAGAAGTTTATCTAATAAGACCAAAGGACTTCAAACGTTAGCATCTAACATTGACATAATCGCTGTAACGGAGACCTGGCTTAAACCCGATATTTTAAACTGTGAACTTTTACCCGGAAACGACTTTGCTATTCACCGTCAAGACAGAGTTGGCAGGAGCGGGGGTGGAGTAATGTTAGCGGTCAGAAACACCATGCTTAGCATCCGAAGGAAAGATCTTGAGAGCGAAAATGCGGAAATTGTAGCTTGCGAAATTCGTCTTGAATCTAAGAAAAAGTTTTTGTTTCTTGCATTCTACCGACCTCCTAACACTGACATAAACCACATAAAAGAACTTAAGAAATCACTTCACCTTGCCATCAAAGCAAAGTTTGACCACTTATTCGTTTGCGGAGACTTCAATCTTCCACATATTGATTGGTCTACCGGTTCAGCTACTAACAACGACTGTATTCACAACTATTTCACTAAAACTATTAAAGACAACTACTTATATCAGCTCATTGACTTTCCAACTAGATCCGATAACATCCTGGATTTAGTTTTTACCAATTTACCAGATAAAGTCATAAATGTTCAAGTTTTTGAGGACATCCTGAATACTGATCATAAACTTGTTAGTTTTCAACTCGACCTTAAAATTTAAAAAAAAATCTAAAGTCAAGCGTGAGGTTTTCAACTTCAAAAAAGCTAATTGGACTGGTCTCAAGGACGTGCTATTAAATACTCCCTTTGATGCATGCTTTGTTCCAGAAGACATTGATGCTTCCCTTTCAAAATGGTGTGATCTGTTTCTCTCAATCGTTCATGATCACATCCCTAAATGTTCCCCAAGAAACGTCTACGATCACCCTTGGATCGATAAAGAGTTGCTGGAGCTCATTAAAAAGAAAAACAAGCAAAGAAAAAAGCTTCTAAGGACAAATCACCCTGATGACTTAGAGAAATTTAGGTTAATCTGACGCGAAACAAAAAAGCTTATCTCCAAGAAAAAATGTGATCACGCCAATAAACTAAAAGAGTCGATGTTTGAAAATCCCAAACGTTTCTGGTCACTTCTGAAATCTTCGACCAAAACAAAACAGAGCCCAAATTTTATTCGAAATGTACAACCCTTTACGACCGACAGCCGCATCAAAGCAAACTTATTCAACAAATTTTTCCACTCCGTTTTTAGCCCTGGCAACGTAGATCCACCTTCAACGCTCTCTACTTCAATGGAATCTTCTTGTAACAAACTCTCTGACATCGATCTTACAATCACTCGTGAGAATTATACGACACGATCGGTTGATATATTAAACAAGCTAAAAGTTCCGAACCTCGAAAAAAGAAGAATGCAACAACTTTCAATTCTCATGTACAAGGTGAAAAACAAATTGGTCCCTGATTACTTGTGTGATATGTTCACAAATGTTAGTGATGTACACGACCATAACACAAGACAGTCGGGAGTCGATTTGACATTGCCTAAACCAAAAACAAATAGTATGAAAAATGCATTCTCCTACAGAGGTGCGGAAGTCTGGAACTGCCTTCCTGCATTGGTAAAAGCATCAACAACTATTGCTAATTTTAAATCTAACTTGAAGCATGCAAATTAACATCAAGTGATCCTGCCATTGTTTCCATCTACCTAAAATAATTTTCTTGTAATTATTTCTTATTTCTGTTTGTGTGAGCACGGCTGGTTGGAAGATCACCTTTTTTCTTTTTATATCTTGTACATAATTAATTTTAGTATAGGTGAAATTGTACCGTGTTGAAATATAGTTCATAATAATAATAATAATAATAATCCCCGAAGTTGCTGCGGTGCTTCGTAATTTAGACCCCAAAAAAGCGTGTGGACCAGATGGTATTCCGAGCAGAATTCTATCCAAGGTCGCCGATGAGATTGTTCCTTCACTTTGTATTCTTTTCAATATGTCTCTCTCTATTGGAGTGGTACCTGCTAAGTGGAAGTTTGCCAATATTACCCCTGTTTTTAAAAAAGATGATCCCACCATAACATCGAACTACAGACCAATCTCTTTGCTTTGTGTTATCTCCAAAGTATTGGAACGTTGCGTTTTTAGTCACTGTTATCATCACCTCTCCCCTTCTTTCAATTTCAACATGGATTTCTCAAGGATAAATCAACGACAACACAACTATTAGAAGTATACCATGACATCCTGGACTCCTTAGCATCCGGTAACGAAGTTGATGTAATTTATCTTGACTTATCAAAGGCCTTTGATAAAGTCCCTCACAACTTGTTATTACTCAAACTAAAGCATCATGGTATCAACGGATCTCTTCTTTCTTGGTTTGGTAGTTACCTCACAGATAGGTACCAAAGAGTTGCTCTAGACGGATCATTCTCTGACTGGCTTCCTGTCACGTCTGGTGTACCACAAGGTTCTATACTCGGTCCATTGTTGTTTGTTTTATACGTCAATGATGTCCCTAACTACATTCGGTATAACTCAACAATTGCTTTGTTTGCTGACGATTCCAAGCTGTTCAAACCCATTCTCGATTCAATCTCCATTTACAATCTTCAGAGTGACCTCGACCGCTTGCATAGGTGGAGTTTGGACTGGGGAATGGCATTTAATAAGTCTAAATGCAAGGTAATGAACATTTCCAGGACGAAGTCATTGATAAGAGAAGCAGTGTACACCATTGATAATCAGTCGTTGGAATGTGTTCCTTTCGTTATGGATCTTGGTGTCACTGTGTCAAATAATTTCTCGTGGTCAAGGCATATTGAAAGTATTGTGGCCAAGGCTAATAAAACGCTCGGTCTGGTTAAAAGGGTATGTAAAGAACTCCCTGATCTGAAAGTCAGAAAATTGTTGTACTGTTCTCTTGTGCGGCCAAAACTTTAGTATGCCAGTAATTTTTGGTCACCGTATACAGTTAAGTATCGTTCCCTAATTGAAAACGTCCAGCGGCGGGCAACTACATTTATACTGAACTATCCTCCGGACATGTCATATACACAGAGATTGCCAGAACCAATCTTCTTCCCCTTGAATTTCGCAGAGAAATTGCCGGTTTGATGCTTCTTTTTAAATCCAGAGCAGGACTGATTTCCATTGATGTCAATGATTTCCTTTGTACTTTCGAGCCAAAATATTGATCTCGGAATTATGATATTAACAACTACAATCTAATAATTAAACATAAACAAGATTATTACAGAATATCGTTTTTTATTAGATAAGCCGAACTATGGAACTGTCTGCCATCATACCTTAAAGTCTACCACTCGTTACCTGCATTCAAGTCTACCCTAATTAACTTGTACATTACAAAGTTATCAACATACAGTCCTCCTGGTTTTTCCGGCTAATTATAGTCATTCCTAAACTTCTTTTTGTCATGGTAGTCGTTTCCAAATATGTGTATATGTATATAAACGTATACAAATTAAAGTATAATGTATATATTGTTGAGTAAAGACAAATAGTATATTGCGTATATTGTTAGGGGTTAGGTTTCAAGTGGGACGAAAGTCCTGTTCCGTTCTCCTGTCACATAGTTATCTTCGTTCTGAGCTATGATGATTGAGTAGATGCCAAGCTATTATACTTTATACCAGAAACATTGTTATCTGGCAATCTGTCATATATTCATATACACAAATATTAGTTGCCCTTTATACAATAAACGTAATTTAATATACAGTCAAATGTAAGCCATTCTATAAAACTTACGAATTTATATCATCTTTTTAATTCAAATATTGTCGCGGCAAATTTAAATTTTAAACATGGACACATGCTCATAATTCATGAATGAAGGTATCGAATATTTCCTTTCAAAACTGCTCCATTAAA